GAAATTGGTCTGTTTACCAAACTCCTAACCAACACTTTTCCCATTCTCTTAAGCATTTTCAATGCAAAGGTTGTCTCTGATTGCCAACTTTAAAACAGAGGAAGACACCCCAGAAAGGCTTTCTGTTTCAGGGAATTGAAACACCCCACCAGTGGCTGTTAAGTGCTCTTAATCCAAATTCAATGAGAGATGGCCTTGCTCACTTTTAATAACAGGTGAACTTCAAACGACCTGATTTTTCTTTGAGTCTATAGAATTAATATGGAGTAACTTGATATTTTACTGCCCGCATGATACCAACTTGCTTTTACAGTATGAGGTAGTTTAGAGTGATTCAGCCTTAATTAAAAGTAGGATATTTAAGCCATTTTTATTAGATGTAAGAATTGATATGAAAACTGCTGGTGAGGTCATCTGAACTGCTGGATGCTCATTGTTATTCTCTGATAAATAATGAGGCTCATTCATATTTGATGAGGACTGGCTCTTTCTGGTTATCTTACTCTTATCACTGATCACAAAATAATTGTAATTATTTTGCAGTACATCTGTATTTGTTCATACTTTTATGTTCACCCTCCCAGTCCAGGTGTTTTGTCAGTTTTCATCATGTCCCACTCAAAACTAATGGGATGGCTCCAGCCCTTCCCCTTCCTGTCCCTGCTAAATTCCTCCTTTCAATTCCTCATTTCAATTCACCAAGCCAGAACTCCTTGATAAGCTCACAATCTTACCTACACAGTCTTGTATCTTCAACAGAATATAGGAATCCTTCTCTGGGTATCACAGTTGATCCTATTATGTTAAGATAAACAGGACTTGGAAAATAACTGGGAACTGGATCCAGCTGAAGTGTATGTTTGGGGTGTGCTTTAGCTATTCATTCCACACTTTTGGACAGTGTTCAAAGGCACATGGCTGCTACTCTGGATGACACTGCCTATCTGTCTGGCTCAGAAGTTTAAGACTCTGGCAAATTTTTTGATAATACAGCTGATTTTACCTGTAGGGCTCTAAATCAAACCTGAACATGATAAGGAGCTGCCTTGGATAAGGGATTTTCTTAAATTCTGCTCAATTTAATCCCACAGGAAAAACTGTGGCAAATCTACTAACATAAACAAGAACTTTAAAAAATGCAAGCTCACAGCCTAAATGGATAGTTGGTAAATGAGCTGATCAGCTACTGAGCAACAGTAAAGAGAACAAGTGGATATTTACTCTAGGATAGGAAATGAATACATAGAGTTGTTTTATTGTCATTCTCTTGCTAACAAGAGGCAGACAGAAAGGCTAGAAAAATAAAGCAGCCCTAGAGTTAGAAGTCTAATTTTTTTAATCTAAATAAGAAACATCATTAAAAGCAACTGAGCAAAAGCAGCTCCCACAAAAAGGCAAGGCCATCAGCAAGAGTTAAGTATATGTAAATGGGATTTACTTCACTGAGAGCAGTGTACTCTCAGCACCTCAGAGGAATCATTGCAATACAATACTGCAAGTGATTATGAAGCAAATATGCATTACCTTAAATAAACCAAAGCAAGAGACAAAGCAAATTATTTTGAAGTGCTTTTACTCTGTAACTTCATTAAAGGAGGTTGTTTATTCTCAGAGGGGAGCTAGAAATTGAATATTGAAATCTAAAATTACAGAAATGTAAATCTGTTTATGGACCAAGGTCAAAGAGAGTTCTATTATGAACAAGGCTATCATCTACACAGTTATAAATATTTTAAAAATAATTTTTAATTTTTGGTATTAATTTCTTTTTGCTTTTATCTAACATCCTCCTCACCACTTTTGCTTATTTTCTCCCCTGCAATATTTTTTTGGGTTTCCAGGACTCCTCACCGAAGAACTGGTATCAAGGTTTTTCCTTATTTTACTTTTCAAAACTCCATTGGAATCAGGAATTAAGAGTCTCATTTTGGAACATAAAAGACCAAGTCAACAGAAGGTCTAAATTGTCCTTGTACTCTAAATATTAATGTGGGATTAACTGATGTGTGCTAACTCCCTATTGCCAGGTCTTACTTAACTGGTAAAAATAACTCTGCTATCTGCATGGAGGGAGTCTGATGGGAAAGATCAAAGGAGAAAAAAGCAGAGGGGAAAAGGAATGGGAGGAAGAAAAGGGAAAACAACAGTGGGTTCTTTACTGAAATAATTCACAATTCAGGACTGTGACATTTTCTTACTTTTTGATCTGTTTTCCTATTTGCAGCAAAGTCACTGATGCCAAAAAGGACCCTTCATATGCTATGCTAGAATCATACCAATCTATAGAGGAAAAAAGCAAACAAGATCAGCTTTATGCTTATTTTCAGAGGTAAACCATACTGAACTACTGAATCTTGGTGGGGGAAAACGGAAATAAAAGTTTCATCAAAAGACATACGGCACATTAAATGTTATGTACACAGTATTTTTGAAGTTGCTGCAACATATTTTTCTCTAACAAAACTGTGAGAACTGTGGGGTGGCTTTCATCCGTCTTTTAGCTTTTAATTGGTTTTATGTCTCTTTCCTTTATACATAACTATGCATACACCCACACAAAGATTCAAACATACATATGCATACATTCATTCCATTTATAAATATTGATTAATATTCTTAATAATGAAAAAAATCAAGCAGAGATCCTACTCCCCATAATAGTTCTGAATTGCAAGTCATCTTTTGGATCGCTCTGAATTGTCTGGTGGTTCTTTGTAAACACAGTAGTAAGTTACAATATTGAAATAATTGTCATGGTGCTTGATATTTACATCAAAACACTTCAATATAGCACAATCACAGAAATTTACTTCTGCACTCACAGGTTGGGAAACTTGAGTTCTGGATTTCTCTAGTACTTCTAACATTGTACTGTATGCAAGTTGCCAAATAATGGTATTTCATTTTAGTACAAATAAAATACTGCTTATTTGTAATTGGCTATCCAAGAGAGAATGAAGAAGAAGATGGAAGCAGAAGCAGCAAGTAGACAAGCAGATGTGGATGTGCACTTGGATACCAGACCTCTGGATAGCAAAGGAGCATACAGTACCCAGCACCCTGAGGATCAACAGCTCAGAAAACACTGCCAGGAAAGCTCTGCACTGACTGGGGCACATCAGATCACAAGATAATGCTCTCACAAAGGGATGCACAGGAGTCCAACTCACTACACCTCCTCCTGCTCAGAGCACCAGCAGAAGAAGCAAGCTGGGCAATCTTCACATTTTCAGTTTTACCGAGTCTTTGGAACAGACCCAAATAATTTCCGTGGTTGAAGCTCATTTTGCCTTTGAGACTGACTGTGAAAAACCCCACCAAACAGAAACACAATGGTGATGGAGCCTGGGAAGCAGCCAACAATGCCAGACTGGAATGATGAACTCAAGCAGTTTGGCCACTGATAATTCCACAACGGATGGGGATGTTCCAGGAACGAGGAGATGCGCAAGGCTCACAATGGCTTATTCAGCATCCACAAACACTGAATAAAGAGACTCCAAAAAAGAAACACACACAACCACAAAAGCCAAGCCAGGAGAAGCACTGATTCGGGGGGTTGTTTTAGAGAGATGAACATGACAACTCAATGGGAATGAAAGGCTGGACCCAGATGGCAGGAGGTAAGAAAAGATCATGGCAATTATGATGCAGCATAGCTGTCAGTGATACAAGGACAGATCACGCCGCTGCTGTCAGGAAAATGGAAGAGGATTTTTCATTGCTGTGGGAAGATCAAGGCATTAAAATTACATACGTACATACGTCAAGAAGTGAAGACCAATTGAAGGACAGATACAGGAACCTTTAAGCAGCTCCTTTTAGGGTTGTGTATATGACTTCAGAATGTCTGATCCAAGAAAGCCTGGCAAGTGTTTAAGACCTTCTATAGTGCTTTGCAAAGAAAAAAAAAAAAAGTTATGTGACTAAGAACACTTTCTGTGACTTCTGATATGTTTGAGGAAGGCCAGTGATGCCACTGGGGAATCTCATGGATGGAATGAAGGGCACAAGTTTGTTCTAATAATCTTCGTACTTGATTGGGCTTAAACAATGAAAGGGTGCTTTTTCAAAACCATGTTTGGAAACAATTTGTTTTGAGCATCTTGGGTCTCACAAATCACTATTGTTTTGAAACCACTCAGGAGAGTGGAATATGTTACAAATTTGCATGCATATGGTCTGTACTTGAGTTAGAGGATAACAAAAGTGTCATGGGGCTAAACTAGTGTCAAAGAAAAAATAAAAAATCACAAAGAGCAGTCATTGCTTCTTTGTGGTTCTAGCATACTCCCAGAGGCTCAAAGGCCAACACAGGAGGAGGAAAAACATATTTTAAAAATGTAAAAAACTCATTGCTTACAATATTACTGCTGCCTGTCTTTATTTCTGCAAAAGGTTGTATGTAAGAAGGTTGAAGTGTTCATAACTGGGTGGTATTAGAGTATATAATCACTGTGCTTCCAATAGGACTTGAAAACAGCATATATATCAAAATTTAAAGTATTTTGCTGGCCTTCCAGAGTTGTTTGCTAAACCTAGTGTGCATTGGAACCTGAGTGAATGAATCCCATTAGTCATCACCATCTTAACAATATGCACTTCATAGAGAGTTGGCTTCTGCACAGAGGAAGGAAATTACCAGTACTAACAAAGGAAAGAAGATTTATAACTAGCAAATATACAAAAGCTCCAAATAATTCTAATATTCACAGCTTGGCAATGACTTTCTAGGCTATGAAATTACTTTTCTTTTGGAGGAATGAAGATTCTACAAGGTTAGTATAAACAAAGGGTAATTGGAAAATCAAATTGCTCTACACAAGTTATTGTAAGGCCTGGAATAATGGTGATAGAATTAAAAAAAAAAAAAAACCCAAAAAAAACCAAAACTTGTTTATGATTCAGTGGACTTTTGTTTTGTACATTATTGCAACCAAAACTTCTCCCTTTCAAGTGCTACATGGGAAACAAATGGCTAAACACAAATCCCAGCTTACCCCTGACACAATGAGCTCTCCTCCCAGGTTCTGAACTTCTGCCTTCACTTTGCTGCAGATATTGAGCTGGTGGCAGTACAGGGCAATGCGCTGCAGGTAGGCCAGCAGATCCTGCTTGCAGGCTGAGTCTGGGCACTGCAGACAACACAAATACTGATTAGATGGAGCTGGGTTCATGTGATTAGAGACAGGTAATCAGATAGTTACAGTGTGTGCGTATGAGGTGGATCTATTCCACTTTGTCTTCACATGAGGTACTAGATAAAACCTGAAAACTCAAATTCTACCTTTCATTTAAATCAAGATTTATGAATTGCAACCTAAAGATGCACTCTACCTTTCTGAAAAATTAGAAACCTCTTTATCAGCATCATGAAAATAATAATTTTAAATTATGCTCCGCAATTATTTATGGAATTGTAATGAACACCCAAAATGTAATGTTTAACTTGAAACTCCAGGTTGCCTGCTGGATATCCAAGTTAACATCCAGAATGGACCAGTTAACGTCCAGATAAACCCAGTTCTGAGTGGTACCACCACTCCAATGCCAACTCCTGTGTGCCTGGCAGCTCCCCTGGCATTTGTGCAGACATCCAGAGGATTAGATCAGGTGTGCTGGATGCTGTGAGGGTTTCACAATCAATAGAACTAGAAAGGGCCCCAGTACAATTTATTCATAGTCTCTGGACTCTTAATAGAAACTGCATCATCCCTCACAATACCAACAGCATAACAAGCAACAGCCTTGTAGTTAATATTCCAAGTCTTGCCCCAGGAGAGCAGACCTCAGTAATTCACTCTGATGAAACAGAGCTAAAAGGGCCCACTGCTAACAGCATGTCTCCAATAAATACTCTTTGGGGCTACCCAGCAAAGTCTGACTGACAATGCTCCTGCATAGCTTGGGGAACAAAGATTCCAAATATGCCTTTTTATCACCTTACAGAGTTAATGCTCAATTAAAAAAATAAATATTATCAGAGCATTTCAAGAAAAACTGATAGAATTAAAGGCACATGAGTCAACAACATCACAGCTCCAACCTTGAGATCACTGCTCTGGCCCCAGCAGCTCATGCTGGCAGGGAATGTGCTCATGGTGAGGTAGTTGGAAATATTGTTGTCTATAACCTCAAATGGAGTCACTTGGCTTGTTTCTTGCCCTTTAAAATTAGTAATAAACAAAGCTAGAGCTTCACTATAGAGTCTCTCCTCCTCAGACAGTTGCCACACCTTTCAGGTATTAATCCCTAAAAGAACTCTTCTCCCTACTGATGCCAATTGAATTTAAAAATATTTACTCAGTTCTTGAAGTCTCTGAACTGAAAGAAGTGAATTTAAAGCAATACTTCTGAAGAGTTGTTGAGGCTTTAAATATAAATACCTTGGAGTGAAAAAAATCTAAGGGCTCTTTCATTGGAACAATAATTAAAAATGCAGCTGTCCACAAGAAGTTTATATTGCTCAAGGGTCCCCAGAGTTCTGTGAAATATCATTAAAGTGCAAGCATTAAAACAAATACTTCATCCTCAAAATAATTTAACTGTTTATTATTAGGGTTACAGTCCTCTGAAATTTAAAATATGACTCAAGTCAAGGCACTCTACAGCATAACAAGGCTCCTTCTGTTTCTTTCTTTAAAATATTCCACCTCTGCAAACACTGCAGACCAGGAATTTCATCAGCTGACAGATGGATTTCTCCTTTCTGGTGTTAAAATGAACAGATGCTACATTTGAAGGACTGGAATGGGTTAACTACAGGAAAAATGCTTGCTGCTGCTGAAGAAGACCTAAACCCAACATTTCTGAGGCTACAGGAAAATGGAAGCTTTGGGGTTTTTTTGCCACTCTGGCCCATATTCCATGGCAAGGTGTTTCACACTATCACACTCTTACTTGAAGCAGAAAATGACATGCTTATTTTGAAGAGAAAGATTAGAGGCAAGGAAGTTATCAGTTCCCACTTCCAGCAATTTTTTTTCTTGATTTCAATGAAATGAAAGAAATTATAGGAAATTTAGAAAGGGAAAAATAGTGTAGTTTAATTTGTCTGAATCCAAAATTAGCTATGTAGGACCTGGATTTGAAATTTGGCTCTTGACTTTTAATACAATGCTTCCTCTTGCTCTCCAGATGAACAGATAAATCTGAAAATATCTATACAGCAAGCTCATCTGTCCAGCTGTGACATGAATTTGGTAAAGGAGTGAGGACACAGACCCCACAACATGCACAACACACTGAGGCAAACCAGAAAATAGGGAGGAGGAGTAAAGAGCCAGATCAAGGGAAAATTGCTGGAAGAATGAGCTGAAAAGAATCCAAAGATTCTTACTTGAAGAAGAAAATGACATTCTTATTTTGAAGAGAAATACTAGAGGCAAGGAAGTAACCTGTTCCTACTTCCAGCAAATTTTCTCTTGATGACAGTGAAATGAAACAAAGTATAGATAATGTTCAAAGGGAAAAAACAGTGAAGTTTAATTTGTCTAAATCTAAAACTAGCTTTGTAAGGCCTGGATTTAAATTTGGCTCTTGGCTTTTAATACATTGCTTCCTCTTGCTCTCCAGATGAACAGATAAATCTGAAAATATCTATACAGCAAGGTCATCTGTCCAGCTGTGACATGAATTTGGTAAAGGAGTGAGGACACAGATCCCCCAACATGCACAACACACTGAGGCAAACCAGAAAATAGGGAGGAGGAGTAAAGAGCCAGATCAAGGGAAAATTGCTGGAAGAATGAGCTGAAAAGAATCTAAACATTCCTAAACACTTAGCAAGGGAAACGGAGCATCCAAATCCCTATTGCTTTTTTTACAGCAAAGCCATTTTGGAGGTGATGATCTCACAAATCTTTTCCAACCTGAAGGAGTCTCTATCTAATTCTATCAGGCCCAGAAGTGAGGCCTTTTTTGAAATTTGGAGAAACTCATTTATGAATTTCCTGCTCTGCAAAATGCTGATGGGTCTAGAAGAACCAAAGGGAAGATCAGGATCCAAGACTCTCAATGGGTAATTTTCTGGTAAAAAAGACTTTTCCTGCAAAAGGCAACTCATCCATAGAGGTTCCATTGTGTTCCAGCTCATTTTGGGGTACCTGATCAGCTACTGCCCGTGCCAGTTTGTCCATCCTGGATCCTGCCTCTGCAATCTTCTTGGCTGCATTAATGACATCAGATGTGTTCTTCAGGGGGCCTTTCCCTCTGTGGAACACAAGACAATTACCCACAATCTCAACAAATCATGAAAAGCAACATTTTTAGTAACCCTGTTTACTGCTCATTTTTAAAATAGTAACACAAATGTCTTCTTAATTTATTACAATTTTGCCTTTTAAGTACTTTATAGTACAGCTTGATTAAGAAATCTTTCTGCTGTATTTCCTCTCCCTCACAAAATGCCTCACTGGCAATTTAGTCTGATGGTGCCTTCAAGCACATGAGCTGTACTTAATAGTATATGCATTTTTAAGTGCTCATTAAGCCAATGTTGATCCTGGAATACACAACTATTTCAAAATTATGTGATTCCCAAGCCAGTGCTAAATGTTCAGCCCATCATGTCTAAGGCAAGAATGTCACATTTTAGAAAACTTTTCTTTTTTGAAGATTTTTTGTTGGGAAATAAAGAGAGGTGAAGCATAATCATTATGCTACAATGCATGTTATACTTAAAACATGTCTACTTAACTTTAGGCCTGATCTGTCACCATATTTTTAAGATAATGTACAAAATTCTGATTTTAGTCATTAAAGCTACCAAAATGTATTAAGACAGAAGGTCTCTACAGACTTCTGTGAGTTTTCATCAGACTCAAAACTTTAAACCTGGTTGTACCAGTAAAATTGCTGCTGCTCCTGAGAAAGTCTCAACTGGAAGTGAGTTCATTTTCCATTTTTTTTAATGTGGAAAATGACAATATGGTCAAACTTTTTTTTTTTTTTGATTGAAGAGAAAGCATTTTTTCTAAGCACAACACTACATTATTTTTGGATTTTTTTAAAATCTACAATGGCAAGCATAACAGGCTGAAACTTATTTTGGTTTTAATCTTCTTTCCAGACTTTCATTACCACTTTAAACAGATGAAATACAAGCATCCCACTTCTGGTGAACCTAAACTGCAGCAAAAGTACTTCTTGGTGACCTCATGTGCTTCTACATTAATTACATGAGCAGCTCTGACTGTCACAAACTCCATGCATTTGAAAAATTATTCTGTTCTAACATTGCTGAGGTTACAGCCCACCAAAAAGGTGTGAAAGGCTTGTTTCTTTTTTAATGGAATATATTAAACAACTTGTTGTTGAATCTGATGCAGATAGAGGTGCACTTCGATTTTTTTTTATTTACTTCAAATGTGTCAGTAATCTTTATCTCAGTCTCAAATTAGTTTTGTTCTTTTGATGCTTGAAAATACAATTATCAAACTGCCAATTTCATGCTCAATGTATCAAAGGTTGTCCAGGAGGTTGCAGAAACTGTGCATAATCTGGGCTGTTGCTTCAAAACATAATTTCTTCCTTCCATGATACAATGACAATGTTTGGGCAGTTTTCACCCTATGTTTTGTTGACAGAAGGATCAGAGACACCAAGACAATACAAATAAAAGTAACACAGAATTCTGTAAAATATCCTCTCCATCCATTTCCACCCCTTGCCACTACCCCAGGTTGCTGCAAGCCCCAACCAACTGAGCTTGAACACTTCCAGGGATGGGGCAACACAAAGAGATGAATAAATGGATGTTTGATTTTAATCTTGAAAAAAAAAAAACAACCAGGAAGTTTTTCATCCTGTTTTGTGTAATCACATTTTGATAAATACCATTTAAACTTTTGAACTCACTTAAAAAATAAACACTGAACAAAATTTAATTTACTACAGTGATCTGGAATTCAAGGAATCTTGTAAACCTTTCTCCCTGGTGTGATTAACAACATGACCATAGTAAGAGACAATAATTCTGTTTACATTGTATCATTAATGGATGGCCTCTGCAATTAGAGAAGAATAAGGCATCAATAGAGAAAAAAAATAAAAGCAAAAAAAAAGAAATCATTACTGACAGACTCCCACAAAGCATTAGATCAAACCAGTTTAATTTCATTTGGGATTTTTTTTTTGAAGGAAGCTCAATGTTTAAATGATATAAATAGCTTTGCCATTATTTTTGATTGACACAAATTGTGCTGAAATGTTGAAGGTTCAGAGAGGCACATGCACTTAGATGGGTGCTAAAGGAAATGTCCCTGGAGTGTCTGTAAGGTCACAGACTAACTTCACAAAATGATCTGCAAATAAAAGAGACTTGCAAATAGCACAAAATCTTCATGTCATTAATCCCACTTGGACAAACACCCAGGGCAGTGTATATGATGAGCATTCATTGGCTTTGCATCCCCAAAACCATAGCAAATCATCTCAAAAGGGTACAAAGCAAGCAGAAAATGTAAGATGTGGCCCATCTGAGCTGCTCAGCTGGGGCTATCTTGTCCTTACCTGGTGAAATCTGTCATTTCCATCATGATCATGCACATCTGCTTGGCCAGCACAATGATGTCATTGCCACTGTCATCCCACTTGGCCACCTCTGCATCCAGCTTGCTCTTCTCTTGGTGGAATATCTCCACCTGCTCAGCAATCTTTGCCTTCTCCTCCTGGGGCAGCTGGGCCATGATAGCCTGGAGAAAATACAGGAGATGGGCATGAAAAAAAGGAAGATACAAAATGGATCTTTCCAGTGGTCCCACCCAACAGCTTGAGTTACTTTTTATGGGAGCTGAAGATACCAAGTAAAATCCTGTAGGCATTTGATTTCTGTCAGGACATGTAAAAGCACATTCACAGCACGTTTATGCCTCTTCTTGCACTTTCAAGATGATAAAATTTCTATTTATGATGTCGTGATTATTCACCAGTTGACAAAGGAGAACTAAATCCCAGTTTTGGGGAAGAATAAAACAAGTGACATTTATGGGAAAAGGCAGCCTGAATTGCTGTGTCACCCCTAGTCTCATCCTCTGTCAGAAACAGAGGATTTCAGATTAACACAACACTAAAATAAGCTATGACACACAAGACAATATATTTGAAGTGCATTGTAACAATTGTATCTTTTAATGATATTTAGTGTTCCAATTTTCTCTTGGAAGAGATGCAAAAAGGCACTGGACAGGTTGGTACTGATCTGCCTCAGCATGAACAAAGCACAAAAAGTTCCTGTTCCCCTCCAAAAACACCCTAAAAATTACAATAATTACTTCTGAAGATCAAATGGACACTTTGAATAATGATTTCCAAGTTAAGCTTTTATTTGGCTCTAGGGGATCTGAAGACCACATTATGCATTTAATGGGGTGTGACACATATTTAAGTGTCATTACATTTTTTTCTTGTTTATGTCACTTTCAATCAGCTGAAGTCTTTTTCTACATATTCTTAAAATGCTCTTGGCTTTTAAAAATTCGTAATTGACCTTTTCCCAAACTGAAATTAAAAAGGGTTATAAACAGTAGATCATAAAATGAGAAATTTGCAAGTTAATCAAATTAAAATTCAAGATGAGTTTTAATTAGGCCTTATCAATGTAACTCAGCAGTTTCAAATGTGAGCATATTAGTCTTTGCACAGAAAAATGCAGTGTAAGTCAAGCTAATAAATAAATATATAAAATGCACACAAAACAACAGAACTGAGGAATTAACTGAAATTAAGAGAATATGATAGGAGTAGTGAAATTTGGGAAGTTTATCTTGCCTGTGGGTTCTTCAAGTGGCTGCTTCACCTGCACACTCTTTAAACTGGTAAACAGTGCTTTAATAATTCTGTTCCAGCTGCTGATGTGCTTTCAAAGCAGCCATATCCTACAGCAAATGCAGCCTGTAAATTCCACTTTTATTGCTACTGAAGACCAACACAAGAATTTCTGCTAAAACACTACCAGCCTTATGGAGTAAGCATATTAAACAAATCCATTACATGGCATGAATAAAAGTATTTTGCATCTTTTCCACAGAAAAGGTTCAGACAAAATTGTATTCTGCTCAGAACTCCAGACTGGGGACTGGGCAGCTTCTGCTTAGCACATTTCCCTTTTAGGTTTTTATGATTTGTTGTTTCCTGTGCCATATTGCAATCTATGTTATTCAGGATCTGTCTTTATGATATATTATGTTTATACAGTGTGTACCTGATCAAAGCAGAAGGATTTAAGCACAGCAGTAATAATAACCACAATAAATGTACTAGAATTTAAGAATCATAAATCCCCAGGTGAACTTGATTCTTAGTAAGAAAAATTACTGCAGTCTTTACTTGGGTTTCAGATCAAGAAAGGATGACATGCTACCCAGTCCTAAATGTAACCAAAAAGATGAGAAAGGCTGTGAAATCTGACAAAATAGTCTGTACTGTATCTCATTTCTGTTATACCTGAGATTTGCTTTAATAGTTAATACTTTGACTATCTCAAACAGGAGTTTATGCCCTTTAAAATATCAAAATCACAAAAGACATTCAACTACATCCAGAACAGTTCTGCCACCAGTCTCACAGTAAGGAATCCAGGTATCTTTTGCCGTAGGGATGTCATGATAAAACTCCCATTTTTCTGATACATGGTTTTCTGATGTGGTTTATTTACCATCTATATTCAATATTCAGGGAAATAATTTTAAGACAAAAAGAAATCTCTGCCCATTTCACTGGATCCATGCCTTGCATTTCTCCCACACCTCTGAGCAAGCTGCTTTCAGATTTCTGTTACTCCACTGTTTCTTTGCAGGGTGTAAAACCTTTGTGTCAAGCCCCCACCCACAGCAGCTGAAAACCTCTGTCCTGGTCCTCTGAGCTTTCACAGCATCTCTGCCTGCTGCTCTTTAGGTTCTCAGCCCTACAAATCCTCTTCCAGACTCCAAGGTAAGAAATCCCCATTTCAGTTATCAATTTTTGCTGATGTTTGAATTTGTGGGGAAGATGCTTCTTATTTAGTCCATAGCTTCACTTCAAGCACAACAGAACAAACCAGACTTGTGTGAAACACCAATGAAAATCATCCAGATAATTCCCAGTTTGCTGCTGGTTCTCTCCTGGAAAAAATGTTAAAATGCTTTTCTTTAAAAAAGCTCTTTTTTCAAATCAAATATATTTCCATGATGCATAAAACTATACTCTGATTATTTTTTTTTAATAATCTGAGCTGAGAAGACTATTCAGTAAAAAGTAAACATTCATCAGAGGGTGGCATAATCCTGAGTGTTAACAGGAATATTCCTGAGTGTTAACAGACTGCACTTCCCCAGCACCTGTGACCCCTGAAGCACTCATCAGCTTAATTTGCAATCCCCATGCACAGGCTGAGGTCGCAAATCACAGTGACTGGAGTTTATCATGATGTAATTACCCTGGTAAAATTACATTGACTCAGTAGCAAATGTCTTCAATTACAATTAAATTACAGGGACTACTCAGTAGCTTAAACAGATCTTCCTGACAGGTTTGCACACTGGGAAACATGACTAATGTAAGATTTCTCTGGATACAGCACATGGTGCACTGATGGGATTTTTTTTTTATTTTTTTTTTAATTTGCTGACTACTCCCACAGTTTCATCACATTCCAAACCTGCAAAGCCTCCTCTTACAGCACTAGCTGGAGCAAGCAGCTGATACTAGGCACCGCAAAAGCCTCACGACCATTCAATAAATGCTACTCAAATAGGCTTGACATGAGAAAAATCTTCAACAGCTCTGTCAGCTTGGTCCCATCCTTTCTCAAACAACCCCGAGGGCTGGGAATCACTTTCTGAGGCAGAGATTTTATTGGTCCCTACTGGGCACACAGGTGGGGTTTGCACTCACCCTCGCGCTCTGGCCAGCAATGAGCTGGTCATCCTCCGTCTGGACGCTCGTCCGGCTGCGCACGTCGTAATCCTCCTGCTCGAAGTCTGAGTCGTCCTCCAGCTCCTCAGGGGTCTGCAGGGACACACAAAAGCCACAGAGAGGAGATGACCAGCTGAAAAAGGACGCAGAGCAAGTCCCCTGCACCGTGAGCTCTTATTTCATTGACTACCAGCCCAGGAAATGCTCCTCTGTTCTCCTCTGAAATGAATTTGTCTGCCCCAGCAGTCAGGGACTGAAATTGAATTGTCTTAAAAATTAAATTGTTTCAACCCTAGTTTTCTTTACAAATGGCATTTGTCATTACCTTGCCACAACTTTTCTTGCTGCAATTTCTCTTAACTCTGTTAACATGATGAATGCAGTTCCAGGAACAAATATCCTTTGGAAACACTAACAACTGGAATGCAGTATTTTAAAATAATGTTATTTCATATATAAATGGTCACTAACACTATTATATTACTGGAAACTACATGTAATCTTCCAAAGAGGAAGTAAATAGCTGGGAAAAAGCAACTGACATCGTAGAAGAAAAAATTATCAAAGCAAATAAAAGATTTCCTATTGAAAGAAATTGTAAATTATGTCAAGTGGTTTTGAAACAAACATGAAATTTTTAATCTGTGTAATCTTGTTAGTTCACACGGTCCTTTTCATATTCAGAGCTTTGGAATTTGACTCATCCCTCTGCTGAGACAATGATGTCTTCAATGCTGATGCTACAAATGATGGGAAGGTTTCTTGGAAGATTGATTAAATCAACTTATGCATTTTCAGGCTTCAGATTGTTTAAAATGTTGGAAGGAGGGAGAAAAAAAATTGATGGATCTGTTCATTTGGGGTTTTTCACCATCTAGCAAAAAGTTTTGAGAAAAAAAAGTCCTTATTTATATTCAGAGAGACAGTCTCCTTAAAATCAGTATTAGTATGATATTTAATATAGAGGGTGCAAAAAAGTGGAATCTTTAGAAAGAAGATTATATTCCATTTCATGGTTGAATAGTATCTGGTAAAATAGCCTAAGTTCTGTGGGTACCAGTCATGACAAAGGTATGAAGAAAAAGAAAAGAAAAGGGAAACCACAGTAACTGCGGAGAAATCCTCACTTTCCTGGACACCCATCACCCCCAGTGACAGCCTGGAAGGCCAAGGCACTACAGGAGAAATCATCCAGGCTGGCATTTGGTGCTTGGAGGCAATGTCAAGTTTCCCAGCAGAGGTGCTAATCACTGCCAGTTGTCATTACAGCTCTGTCTGGGGCTGCTCAGGCACCAGGAACGGCTCCAAACCCTCGAATGTAACACGGAGGAATCTTCTGGCGATATTTCTGTTCCAGCCTGGCTCCCAGCACCAAGTGCACATCCCTGTTTGTAGCTGCACAGTGAAGTGCACAGGATGGGGAGGGTAAAACACAGACATCTTGGTGTGATTCTGAAAGTATGAATTAAATATGGGCTTTGGTGCTGAGCTGGAGGAAGAAATAACCAGGTGTGACACTGTGGCAATGAACCTGCACCTCTGAAGAGAGGCATGCACAGAGAGAGTGTGTCTAACAGGACAGGCAGGAGAAGAAGTTCAGATGAAAAATGAATTTACCTTCTCTCTACAGTCTCAGGTAAAATAGAAGGATTGGTACCCATCCAATGGTCCTGTTTTCCAATCACCTTTAATCTCTTTGTTTTCTCTGCTCAGCCGCCCGAGGGCGGGATGAGACCTTAAAATCTGTCATAAACAAGCAAGGTACAAAGAGGATCCTACAACTCTCTGAGCAAAGAGTGTTCTCTATCACAAGGCTCAGCTTTTTATCTGCCTAGGCTTTGCTGTTCAGAACAAGAACAGGGTGCAGAGCTTCAATAAACCAGCTGGCTCTTCCCCATCCTCCAAGTCCACTCAACGAGTTTCATGGTCATTGTAAAGCCAGTACCCTTTCACACCCCAAATATACTCCTCTTAGTTTCTTCTGTCTCCACTTTTATAAATAAGATTATAAAACATAATGTGCAGTCCTTTCCAAGTCCTTTCATAGTCAAACTTGAAGTAAAGATGCAATATTCAAAATATTACATCTCAACACGGTAATCAGTAAGGACATGAGGCTGCCTCTTAAAAAGAAAAAAAATATTCTGAAAATTCGATGCAAGGACTTATTCTTGAAGAAATATCCAGAAAAAAATGCATTGCTGTTACTGACATTCATGATCTTGAAATCTGTGGCCTTTAAAAGACTGAAATTTAATGGGTATAAATGTTGAACTTGGAGAACATGTAGTGCAAACCAAAAGGGCAAGTAATGCAACTGTTAGCAATATACTACAAGCACAAGACATCTTCCTATTCCCCTCTGTACAAGTGAGATCTAATTCACAGTGATCTTTCAGATTCACTCTTTTCATGTTTTCAAGTGTGGTGAATTTTACACTCTCATTTTCTTCCCCAAACAGCTGCATTTTGCATTAAGGTGAAAAAGTAGGGTTAAGTTTTATCTGTTTTCTGCCATTTTGAGCATTTTCATGCTTTTCACCACTGCACCTTTGCTTTGTCTCAGCTGATCCCCTGGAGATGCAGCCCATATAAAATAAAGTCTCCCTTTTGTTTAGACACAAAGGTACCAAAAAAAAAATTATATTGAATTTGACTTAAAGGACAACTCTTAGCAAGGCCTTCTAATACACCAGAATGACTCTAATTTTTGTGCACAACTAACAGGACCTTGATATTTAAAACCTTGTTTCCAAGACAACAGAGTCTGAGATTCCATTTCTGTGAGCTGGAAGATAGAAAGACTGATTCTGTCTTGCAGACACCTGGATTTATGGTTACACAAACGTAGGAATCACAGATCTGAGGCTGGAGACAGCTTCCAAACAGAGCTGACAGCCACCAGTGGCAGAGGAAGCTCAAGCAATATTCAAAACTAATGGATTTTATGCACTGATTGATTTCAGCAGGAAAATGGACCATTTTCATCATTTTTAATCTGTTTTGTAGCACAAGCCATAAGAGTTCCCAAGATTTTTTTTTTCAAATACAGTATCTCTACTACACACAACAATCATCTAACTCAGAGGAAGTTTTCCAGTGAAGAAGAATCTTTCACAATCCCAGATAAATCACACAATAAATATATGCTTTCCTCTTTTGAGATGCATGCTTTATTTCTAATATGAATGTGGTGACTTCCAACTTCCAGGCATTGGAATATATATATATATATATATATATATATATTTTTTTTTTTTTTTTTTTTAATATCTCTCTGGCTGTTTGATTGAAGAGCTTGCTGTGAACAAAATATCTTCCATCGATGTCATTTTTTTTAATCTTTTGTGACTGCAGTATGAAAATGTGAATTATCCAAGTATAAGGAATAAAATGGCATATATATGCAGATTTATAAATGCTATTTGTTTCATATTTCACCAACTCAAATGTACTTGATGAAGATAGAAACCCCACTTTGCTATGTACTTAAAAATTGTAAGATGCAATTACAAGAATTTCAGCACTGTGAACACCAAGTCAAGCCAACCTTGTAACGAGAGCAAAGACTGGAGAGATGAAAAGATACTCCCCTGTTTTTTACAATGAAAATTCCCTCTAATTCTAGAAGACAAGGAGAAAAAAAAAAAAAAACCCAGACTTTACAAGGTGCTTTTAAATCCAACTCCACACTATTCTGTACGCTTGTTTTGTACCACTGCAAGCAGCACCTGAGTGCCTCAATCAGAGACCCTCTCTCACTGCAGGTCCTCAGTTGTTTGGTGATTTACAGTAAAATCTAACACTTCAAATCCAATCTGAGGAGCAGCAGGCACTCAGCGGAAACACTGGACCCATGACACCCTTTGGAGATAGGATGTTTCAAAAGATGATGGGATTCTGCACCAAATCTGGTTTTACAGGGGACACAAAATGTTGCAGCACTTTGGATTTCACCCCAATGGCTGCCCCAGAGGTGATGGTGGCTAAACCTGACAAGTCTGGAAGAGGAGAAGAGCATTAATACACTCCACAGTCATTTTTGTTGAGGTCTTCTCCCAAGGAGACAAAAAATCCCTTAATTACATAATGGAATAGAAATGGAGTTATTATTAGAATGAAATATCCTGAATTAGAAGGAGCTCACAAGGACCATCAAAGTCCAGCTCCTGGTCCTGCACAGGACATCCCCAAGAGTCACAACTTGTTCCTGAGAGCATTATCCAAATGCTGCCTGAATTCTGTCAGGCTTGGTGTGAGAGACTGAAATGGGCAATGGCTTAAACACAGTTAAAGAAGGACTTGGCCACTATGGCAAAATTGTATACAGAAGCTGTGAGCACCAAAGCCCTGTTCACACGTGCCTCCTGAGGGGAACTGGGCTGTGAGTTCAGCCACCTGATGTTTTCTGCTTAATCTGTATGTCACTCTTCTCTCCCACCCTGTCCCTCCCTCCCTCCCTCCCTCCCTTCCTTCCTTCCTTCCTTCCTTCCTTCCTTCCTTCCTTCCTTCCTTCCTTCCTTCCTTCCTTCCTTCCTTCCTTCCGTCCTCTTTCTTTTTCTTTCTTTCTTTCTTTCTTTCTCTTTCTTTCTTTCTTTCTTTCTTTCTTTCTTTCTTTCTTTCTTTCTTTCTTTCTTTCTTTCTTCTCTCTTTCTTTCTTTCTTTCTTTCTTTCTTTCTTTCTTTCTTTCTTTCTTTCTTTCTTTCTTTCTTTCTTTCTTTCTTTCTTTCTTTCCTTCTTTCCTTCTCTCTCTCTCTCTCTCTCTCTCTCTCTCTCTCTCTCCCTACTGTTAAATAAAATCCAGCTTCAGCATATGGTTTTGTTTGCACCTTAACACAGGCAGATTTTAATAACGCTAACAATTTTAATAACCAGAACTCAACACCTGGTGCAGTGACCACCGCCCTGGGGACCCTAATCCAATGTCCAGCCACCCTCTGGGTGAGGAACCTTTCCCTGATATCCATCCTAAACCTCTCCTGACACAGCTCCAGCCATTCCCTCATTCCTAAGGTGCTCCCAGAGAGCATCTCCAGGCATCCCCCCAAAGAATCAAGTTCACAGATGTTTAAAGTCTAATCTGTAACATGAACTAAACATGGCAAGAGGGAACACCTGGACATTGGCTCCAACAGTGCACTCCTGATCCAAACAAATGTAACACCCAGTTGATGTAGATGCCTCTAAATAAGAGGTTGCTAATGGCAAAGGCCATGTTTAATACCAGTAAATAAGAGTAAATTGGCCTTGGAGATTCATAAGAATGAGAAAAGTTGCCATTGTGAGTCCTTCTGACTGTAGAGAGGGTTTCTGGCCAATAACTGAGGGAATTTCATAGGCAGCTTTGAAAACACAAAATGCAATTTCATCCCTACGCAGTAATAGGGAAGGTGTTGGAATGAAGTTATTATTTTCTATTTTATTTCTATGTTCTATAATTATACTCTTAAATTCATTTATACTACTTTTTTACTTGTGAAAGAGATCTTTTTATCTGTATAGATAATAATAGTAGTCCTCAATGAAAAAATGAGTCTCCTTTCTCCTCCAGAGAGACAATAAATTCTCCCCTTTTGAGGGAAAAAGAGAAGAACAGAGACTATCCACCCTTTCTTTCAGCTTACTAAAAGTAATAACACCAACCAAAATTAATTTCAAAAGTGGTTTTATTTACTCTCTGGAATGAGGGGACTCAGATAAATTCAATCTTTCACAGCTTGCACACAATCACCGCCTGAAAATAATTGTGTCAGATGCTCTAAAAAGTTTGCAAGATTGGATTTTTTTTCCTTTTTTTTGCAATTCTGAAAAAGTTTTATCACCTGAATTAAAGGGTGCATAATATTTGACAGATTATTAGATGAAAATATTCTAAAGGCTTTTATAGCCTCACCCTTTAATTATACATCCCATTTCAGTGTGAGATGTTCAGATGGAAACGTTAAAGAGTATCTCAAAGTGAAACTAATTTTGTTTTCTACAGCAAATAAGGTTCTGATTCAGCAAACTCTGGTCTGTGTAAGCTTATATATGTGGATTTTTCCAGTTAACTCACATGGATAATGAGTCCATTTATGTGCTTTAGTTCTCTGCCTGGGTAAGGAGTATTACATTGAGCTCCATAAATAAGTTAATTGTCTGAAGGCAAAAATAAATCTTCCTAATCTGGGCAAGCAGAATTCATTAACTCAGATCATACAATGGGTGGAAAGTCATAGTGATATAATGGCAAAAGTAACTTGGGATTTTCCTAAGGAGACTGAGAAGCCTGAATGTTGATCAGCTCTCCAGGTAAAGAAGAACTGTCAGGCAGTGACAAAGGAAATGATCAGGCCTTCAAAATTCAAAATTTAAACTTAAAAACATCTCATCAAGATGGACATCTCATGGCAAACTCTTGGGGATAACTCTGATGTGTAGGGGGTTGCTGGAAGATGGAGCTCTGTGTAGGAGATGGGAAAACCAAAACCTGAGTTTGTAGGAGATCCCACCTGCTGATTGAGTCTGTGCCACAATCACAGTTTGAAATTACTAGAAAATATTAAAGTGTGCTAGGCAGTTGTTCTTGTCCTAAGAAAAGTTTGGAAACCATTGTTTCCAACTAAGGAACTGGAAAATCGGAGGGAAAACAGAGATCCTTCACTATGCAGATCTTTCATTTCCCAGAATCACAGAATGCTTGAATGGTTTGGGTTGGAAAGGACCTTAAAGCCCATCCAGTCCCACTCCTGCCATGGCAAGGACACCTTCCACTCTCCCAGGCTGCTCCAAGCCCTGTCCAACCTGGCCTTGGGCACTTCCAGGGATCCAGGGACAGCCACAGCTGCTCTGGGCACTCTGTGCCAGGGCTCAGCACCCTCACAGGGAAGTAATTCAAGTAAAGATTTCCCTTTCCCTTTCCCTTTCCCTTTCCCTTTCCCTTTCCCCTTCCCTTCCCTGGCAATCCTCTAACACCGCACACCCAGAGAACAGGATGGCTTTGCCCCCACCACAAGCCAGGACAATAATTCACACCACCTGGGATAATCACTGGGTACGAGAATGGAATTTATGTTTGGCAGTTACAAAATTAAGCCTGTCAAAAGCTTTTTCTGTAAATGTTAATACATAGTGGCAGATGACTAAAATGGAGCTATTTTGGAGTGTTCCAACTGCCTGAAGTCTTACATCAGTGCCATAATACACTCACAACCACAAGTGCACACTACCTGTTTGCTCAAAGGGATCAGTTGACATTTCAGCCCTGTTATTTGCCTCAACAGCTTCCTCTGTGATTTTCTCCATAGCTTTACTTGTACATGGCTTTCATTAGGGCAGATTCAAGGCAATTTGGGTTTCAAATAACAGTTTCAGTTGCTGAAGAGATGTCCAAACCAGGTTTGGTTTGCTGTTTTTCTTTTTTAAATCTTTGTCTGCTGACTGAAGTGAAAAGTAACACACACCTACTATCACAATAATGATGTTGTTATGTGGTCTCTTTTCTTTGTTTATTTATTTTATTAAAAGATGTCTAAACAAATAGAATCAACTGGTTAGTCAACACTGAAATGACACGTCTTTTACCTTGGTAAACATTCAAAACCATCCCTGCAGCAGCAAGATAATTTATTCATTTAGATTTTAACCAGACCTACCTCACATCCCAGGCAGCACACATACATTGGGAAAAAACCCCAAATAAACAAAAAATCCACACAAACTTCAAAGAGCTTGGCAAATTAATCCTATTACTATGGAAACAGTAATGGAGTTTGCATCTATTGGCAGTTGTGATCAAATCTTCTAGCTGATTAACATACTAATTGTGATTCATCCACTAAATAACCTCTTTATTTACTAATTCTTTTGTTGTTGGATATATACTTCTGTTTCATGCGTGTTTCAATGTCAAGCTTTTCAATGTCAATCTTTTCTGCCTTACTACAACACGACGCTGATTCCAAGGAGCTTTTGCATTCCTCTTATCCATGAGCCCTCCCTGTAAACCCCAAAACTTTTCACTGCCCAGGTGTTTGGCATACCCTGATCATGAGGACAGCTTTCCTGATGTCCCGGACGCCGTCGTAGACCAGGCGGGAGGCGTCGATGAACTCGTTCTCCTCGAAGGGCTGGGGCACGTTGGCGCTCAGGGCTTCGATGGCCACCTCCACTTGCTCAGCAAAACGTGGCATCACTGGGTTGGACACAAGGAGAGGCAGCAGGGTCAGATTTGTGTTCTCTCATCAACAATTTGCTCTGGGGCATGGATAGTTTCCAGGAGGCGCAGCACACGCTGTGCTGGAAATGCCCTAACACAGGGACCTCATGGATGGGTTTGTACCTGCATCTGGACAGCTCTGGCATTTTATCTGACAGCATGGAAAGAACCATCCCTACATCCATCCCTATATTCTCTCCTCCAACTGCGCAACAAAAATTAGAAAACTTCCTTCCAAACCTGTGATTTACTAACTTTTAAAAGCCTGCGAGATAGCTGAGCAGGCAGTAAAGTTCATTTAATGGCTATACAACCTGTAAAGAGCACAGCAAATATTTGTATCAAGTGATCAAAACAAGCTGTAGCCATTATGTCTGCTAATTTACATAATTTACACTCTAGCTCACACTAAATAATAATAATTTTATAAGAGACAAAATGCAAAATCAAGGATATACTTTTGTGAAGATACCTAAATGAATCTTCTGTTTCTTCACTATCACCATGTATATATAACACAAAACATAGCCACAGATATTGGCTAAAAATATTATAAACGGTGGTATGAACTTATTAAATGTACAATCTAAAGCTATTATTTACTTTGGTAAATGGTTTCAGAGCATTGCTTGAAGTAGCAAGAGACTTTTCTTCAAATTTCATTGAAGATTCCTTTGAAAGCATAATCACTTTCTGCACCTTGTGTTTGCAGGAAAATAATTCTTCCCTAAACCAGTCCTCTAACAACTCAAACCCAAATCCTACAAACATGAACATCAGGTCCCACTGATTATACTGCATTCCTGGACTTGTTTACTCCTCTTAAAAATTTAACAATAATATTGAAGGACTATGCTCATAAAGGACAAACATAATCAATGTTTCATTAGAAACCTAGATAAAAGGATGCAGTTGAATTAATTCTTAAGAATTTAGGGAACTAGGGTCAAGTTTAGGATTTATAGAGAGCCATCTTTTCAACATATTCATATTACTTTTATTCTAGCATTTAGGTATCCAGATCATGTATCACTGACTTTACTATTTTGGCAATATAATTAGAAGAACAGGAAATTATGATTCCCACAACAGTTATTGACTTTTTTATTGCTAAAATATTACCTTTTTTTGCCCATCTTTTCCCTAAATACTATTTTTAATACTTATTGGTAACCTGAACCCAGCTGATGAATACAAAGGGGAATTTTCAGTGTTTTTTTCATCAAGAGCAGGGACATTCTTTCCCAGGAACTTCTACTGTGATAGGAAACGATATTTTCTTCTTAACTAAATGTTCTTAAATTTATTTTACAGAATCTGACTTAAAGTAAAACCACAAAAACACATGATTTAAGAATAGTTTACATTTTGAAGAAGTGGCAGCAACCATGAGCTCAAACTTTCTGTTTCTGGCATTTAAATATTACGCATTGGATGCAAATGAGGAAACCTTTAAAGGGATACAGGGATTCAAATATAGTTTATACATCACTAAATATCACTAAATATATGTGTGTATATATATATCTGTTCACATAGACAGATGAAAGAACAGATTTGTGTTTTCCATGCAGATAATGTTCAGTAAGTTCCTGGGATAAACTGGAAAAACAGGAAAAAGTGGCAGCAACAATAGACTTTAAAAAAGTAAACATTAACAAAACATTGCCAGGCAGAGGGAAAACATTTTAATTAGAAAAGGAGTTTAAGAGAGATGAAAGTTTTGGAAAGCGTATTTAATAAATGCATATATCAAATTACCTTAATTAATAGAACACTTGAAAGTGTAGTAGGAGACTAATATGATTGCATAAGGAAGTCTCAAGCCTGAATATCAAAAAGCAATCATTAAAAATACAATCTAAACAAGTAAACCTAAAGAATAAGAAATAAATTATTCTGTGTTGTTGCCATAAAACAAGTAACACTAAAGATGCAATAATTAAAACAATTTTAAAAAAGGAGGTAAACAACTGTAATATTTAGGGTTAAATTAAATTAAACTTAAATTTCAGTTTATAATTTCTTAACTGGCAGAGGTGGTCAGGTATTTGATATAATTGATAGTAGGTGCAACAGGCCTGAATTAGGAATGGGCAGTTTGAAGAACATCTACATAAGCATAAGGAAATTTATCTTCTACATATGTGTTCAAGTTAACAGAGTATAGTAAAATTTACCCTATAGTTTTTAAGAAAAAAATGAAAGCAATTTCTGAACCTTTTTCAGTGACATCAAGAAAAACATTAGTGGTGGAAATTCCAGGAATTTGGGAAAAAAAAAAAAAAAAAAAAAAAGAAGCATCTGTCTATTTTAGATGAAGGTATATAATCTTAATATAAACGTTCTTGTAAAGGTAGAGAAGAAGGAAGATTTATACTATATTCAACATAGTTTTAGTACCCAGAAATAAAATCAAACATGACATGGAGCAATTAATGTTTAATTATCTGTAAATAATCAACAGATGCTGGACAGGCAACAGATTTGTGGCAATAAGTTGCACCAAGCTTTTAGAATATTTCCCTTGACAGGGCAGAGATGGGGGGAGCAGGTACAACACAGCTGGGTTTGTCATGGCCACATGTGACATTCTCAGAACAAAACAAGGGAAATTTAAATTAAAATGGTTGTAAAGTGGAAAGTTACACTTTATTCATATTCCTGAACACAAGGTATTAATTCCTGATCACATTTATTACCTCCACTGGCTGTGGAAACTTCTCTGATCTGTTCTGATTTTGTCAGACCTGGCTATAATTTAGCCCCTAATTTAAAATATGACACGTAAACATTATCTGCTGTTTCAAAATGGGAATAGATATTAAAATACTTTATGACTGCTTGCTTGCCAGTGATATTATTACATCAGTGCTCACTTTTGATTGGGCAAGCAAGGAAAAACCACCTTTAATAGGGGGCTATTACTTATTGCTTCTTTAAGCATATGTTGCCATTTAATGCAGGAAGTTTTTGAAAATTGAGAAATTTGTTATTGTCCAGTTAAGCTTATTCAGCTCCATGAAAAAAAAAACTTTCTTCTCTATTATTTACCACACAAAGAAGGATATTCCTGTGCCAAAGGTGAAAGAACCACAAGTAAAATTCAGGCAAAGGCGTGCATTTGAATCTGGAGTTAGAACTTGCAAATGTATCAGACAGAGAACGATTCATTTATTATGCACAGAGAAATTGGCTATAAATTTTAGATTCAGAAGCAAATCAATACTTCTGGGGCAAAATTAAACATTGGTTTCTTAGCTGGAGCTGTGGCCTTGAAAACAGCCACACATATGCTTAGACTGAAAAATGTGGTCCATTAAAATCTCTCAGCCTAACTACATGAATTAATTAGGCACCTGCATAAATGTTGACAGAATCAGGTCCCAAGTTAATAACAACACTTCTAATCCACTGACTTTGTCATTCCAACAAAATAAAGATTTGAAAGCCTTTCTGTAGATGAATTTCCAATGGCACTGAAAGCAAGACCAATGCCAACAAAATCTACGATGAAAGGCTGCTGGAGAAAAATTTGGAATCAGAAAAGTTGAAATTATTTCCATTTTTTCAACTGATCAATTCTTTTGAATGATACTTTTTTTTCTTTTGGCTGATGTATAATAAAAAACCAGCATATCACCATGTGTGAATTCATGCCTTGATCAAACTTGTATTTTTTTTTGTGAACCCCTCTGTTCCACAAAGAAAATATTTTCTGTAAAGTTCTTGTTTTTCTCCCACCCACCCATATCTCCTACATATTAAAGTTATCAAGTAATTACCTGTTTCCTAAAAATATAATTCCTGCTGACTTTTTCTGCTATGGCAATCAGTTTGTACTGTGATTTTTGTACTTAGAAACATCACTGCAAACTTTGTTTAGTGATAGGGGAACAATAAGATCCCTGATAGACAGAGAAATGCTAGGTTACATAATAAAATTATTGAGATAGAAATTAAAAAATGTTTGGGCGTTCTTGTTCATAGCATTAGAACAAAAAGTTTCATTAATATGCAAGATTAAATGAATGCCTTGCTGATTTATTGTACTTTTATGGCCTTATTGTTTAGGAACTTGAATTCCTCAGAATCTTAAGTAGATGTGAATGTTCAGAAATGTGGAAAGGGATAATTAAGACACAAAAAACCCAATAAAGGTCAAGGACCCTTCAGGTGCACAGTTTCTAATTCTTAGTAGCATCAATGGGAGTGAGGAAATTTGTCTGGTTTTGTCTCACATCACACAACTGGAAGTTTTAAATCTTTCCTTATACCAGGCAGAGAATAGTAGATGCTTCCATGAGAAAATTAATCACACCAATCCTACTTTAAAGACTCAGGTTCAGCGGGATAAAATTCTGATTTTCCTCTGCCACAGAACAGAGAGGGAGGTGTTTGGCTGTCGCCCTGATTTTTTAAGATTTTCTAAGCCTTCTGATGTTGACATTCTTGTAACGAACTTTCTCACACACTTTTTGTAAATAACTCATTGTTTTGCATTCCTTTATGGAGGAGGAGAAAGTTGATGGACTGTTGGTTTGTCCAGTGTCATTGGAGAGGTGGCACTGTCACCCTCCAATCCACTGTCACTTTTGGAAAACTATAAATGTTGGAGTCAGAAATTAAAATTCCCTTTTTTTCTTCACCTTGAGAACACCGGTGCGTCCTTGTGTTCTTTTGTGTCCTATAGCGACATTTTGTTTAGACCAGATTTCTGCTTTAGACAACCAAGTTTAGGCACAAACCAACCCCATTTGCACCAAATCCTGGCACATTTTTGGCTCTGAATCAGGCTGAGCACAATGTGGCTCCTTTCCATCCCAATCTCACTGGAACTGAAGGGTTCCCAGGAATATCATCTCAATTTTTGGCCAGAAGACAATTTTTGAAAAGCACCAGCAGAGCTATTTCTTAGAGCTTCATTTTGAAAAGACAAACACCTACTTGAGTCTTTTTAGAATCCAAGGATTTGG